TCTTTAACAATGGATTAAGATGCACATTTGTAAAGCTTTTATACATGTGTGCCACAGATGCCTTCTTCCAAAACACATTGCAGTTCAATGAGTTTGTGTATCCTGAAGCATGTAGGCCTATGTGCTTATGGAAATCTGAGCTTTAAAAATCTTTGTTTGATCAGAAAAGATTTCGGACTGAGTGAACTGACCTGGAAATGTCAAGGCTGCAGGAGGAAACAGCTGATTTGAACTACAAATCAAGGTGATTCATGTTTCCGATCCTCTCTAAAGACGTGTTCTTATGGGGGAAAGAGACTGCTCTTGCAAGTAAAAAAAAAAACGACAAATTATTTTGTAGCTCAGTGGGCATTCAAGAGCATCATTAGCGAGTGTCAGATGATTAAATCAGGCTCAAACCTCACATATTTCAACTTTTCTATTCAAATATTGAAATGATTACTTCATTTGCAGAATGGACAGATGTCGATTCTGATTTTGATGCAGTTCTGCTGCTCTGGAAATATCTTCTAAACCATGTAACAAAATGAATTCACCAATGTGAGGAAAAGACCATGCAGGATCATGTTTCATGTTTAAAGATAAAACCATAACTTTAAATACCTTTATATATAGCTGCTTGCGTTTCGTTAATGTATTTTTTAAGAAGAAAAAGGGATTCACATTAATCATTCTTAATGTTATATTTGCAGGGTTTACATCACATATTTGAAGGCTTGTAAGCTTTTTTCTATTTCTCTAAATGTATTTTCTATTACATTTAGCATTATCTGAACAACAAATTCACTGTAAACTGTAGTAATCCGTATTTTTCGAAGCAAGTTCTGGATATAAAGTCCCGTTGAACATTTATATTTAAACAACCTGTAATTATTCATTATTATTAATTATGTACGTTTTTTTTAATTTAAAATCTGAAAATCACGAGATTTGAGTCAATAAATAGCTAAATCAGAAGGCAAGTCTGGGGTTTTTTGAGGTACGGAAAAACTGGAAAAAAAGGGAAAGCAACATTTTTGGGGGGAATTTGTGTGTGAAGCTTCACCACAACTGTTGATCCAAGCAGCATTAACTGTCTCTTTGTTTGTCCATCAGTTTAAATCCCCACAGATGTGAATATTGAGCATTTATTGCCTTTTAAGCAACAAACAGGTGACAATAAACCTTATAAAACCACAGCTGTATCCACATTTGTGTCCGTCCCCCCCCATCCCTCTGAGCTGTCTCCCTTTGACGCATAATGATTTTAAATAAAACCAAACGGGCATGTGGATCAGATTATTATTACCAGTCTATTTTCCATCTACTTCTCTGCAGCTCTGTAGTAACACTTCAGCTCCACAGCGACCTGAGGGATTTCTGGCTGGATGCATCATGCTCAGCTCAGTCACGTGTTTATAATTCAGAATCAAGAGCACCCACACACTAGCAAACACACAAAAAACACACACACTAGGCACACACAAAAAACACACACACACACACTAGGCACACACAAAAAACACACCCACATAAGAGCATGTCACATTAAAGCCTAAACAGTCGCATGCAAATGCGGAAACAAAGAGGACACTTTAATATTCATATGTGCATCTGAACTTCAGCGTACTGCACACCCACAGGCACACACACTCTCTCTCACACACACACACACGCACACACGCACACACGCACACGCACGCACAGTTATAGCCTTGCAGCAGTATCCAGTGGTATTCGCTCCTCTGTATCAGCTCTGCCGAGGCTCTGCTGCTTTCTCTTCTGTCTGTGTCTCATTTTCAATTTTCTGCTATAGTTTTTTTGCTAATTAAATTCTTCTTAAGAAACACGGCAGCTTGCTCTCATAGTGAAACAAATCCTGTTGTTTATGACTCACAATGAAAAGACAATGATGCAATCAGATTTCTCCGAATCGTATCTCGCAGTTTATCTCTCCCAAAGTCTTCCTCTCTGACTGCATGTGTTTACAAACTCTTTGTACTACATACCGTTTTAGCATTAAGTACCACACACACAGACAAAAATATGAAGTAAAGAGCCGATTATCAAAAGATTATTTCACAGCTGTGACCGGGGCTGGCAACATTTTCTAAACAACAAAGCAGGAGGGTAGTCCCTGACGTTCCTACATGTAGATATACCTTCATAAATTCAGCCTTCGTATAAATGGCAAAAATAAACGCTTGAGCAGACACACACAACTGACTTCTGCATCGTCTACTTCAATGTTGTCTTTAATTTACCTTGTGTACATTTCATATTTGTAGTTGCGCATGTGCACATAAAGATAGCTGGTTATGATGTAATCAGTACTATTTTAGTTTTCCTTTAGATGGACAATAGAAAAATGTGTTGTTGGTAGTGATAAACACGCAGAGATAATAAGAAAACCCAAATTTGCAGCTGTGTTTAGCGTCTGCCTTCTATCTGTTTTGGTTTCCTCTCCGACAAGCACATTTTTGTGATGGCCAAATGATGGTAGTACAACCTCCGTGTTCGTCCGTGACGTCAGCGGGCCGAAACCTTTTTTTCCCCATTGACTTACATTGGGAAGGCGACCACCAACCACTGCCCATATATTAATCATTTGGGTCTAAAAGGTGTAAAATGGTTTATAAATTAATCCAGAGTTATTTTAGATCTCTAATTGTCTTGGATGAGTAAAGATTGGCCGTGTTGTTACCAATTAGATTAAGCAAAAAACAAGTGCGCATACTCTTTGGACCCAGATACGGGCACTTTGGCTCTCAAGACTCAGGCCATTTTGACATAATGCGCCACTTAGCAACTTTCATAGGAATGAGGGGGGGGTCGCCTGCGACAGGGGTCCTGCCTCCAGTTCCCTTTATACATCAATGATTTTAAGCAGCAGCTTTTTAGCTCTAGAAACCCACTGTTTGCAATGTTTTAGCAGCAACAACTGAGAATAACGTCTTCACTTTGTCAATAGTGTAACATAGTTTTGCAGACCAACGTTTTTTTAATACATAGATTTCTTCATTGGATAAAATCTTCGATGTTCCCAAGCACTGTACATGGAGTGTCCACTATGCCATATGAGCTACTGGGGCTGGAGCTGGAGCTACTGAGCTACTAAATGACCGGAGCTTGGTAATTCAACATTTTTTGGTATCAGCTCAGCTCCCTTGGAAAAATGTATCGAGGGGGAAACACAAAAAAAGGGCCAGGTAGTATACGCCACAACCTTTGCTAAAAGAGAGACACTAGTTGAATAGAGCCTTGCCATACTATGCCGTGAAAATGTATTTGCCCGGTTCGGCAGAAACATCCAAAATCCAATACTAATGATGAATAAATCAACAGTTTGCTTACATATTCACTACTTTACAGAGGTGTGGACTCGAGTCACATGACTTGGACTCGAGTCAGACTCAAGTCACTAATTTGCATAAAGATAGATTGTGGGTCCCTTATAACGTGTTGTACACAGTGGAAATAAACATTCTGCCTCAACATCAGGGATCTTATACATTAAACTCCTTCTGAATCAAACTGTCACGGTAGCCTTACTGATCCCTCTTAAAATAGAAAAAAACCCGTTACTTTACCAGCATAGAGAACATTTATTAATAAATTATTAATGTAACCAATAAAGAGCAGTTTGATTATTAAGTATTATTCTGTTGATCGATGTCATTACATTTGGTGAAAAGCACATAAAGACTTGTTTAATACTTGTTTTGTCAACGTTTAGGACTTGGACTTGGACTTGACTTGAACTTGCCCATCCTGACTTGAGACTTGACTTGGACTTGAGCGCAAAGACTTGAGACTTGACTCGGACTTGCAAAACAATGACTTGGTCCCACCTCTGCTACTTTATAAGGTAATAATATGTCAATGTGGCTTGTTGTGCTGCCCACAAATGGCTAAAAAACTGAGTGCAGAATGATATCCTTATTACCAGGTTACAAAGCAACAGCAAAGGAAAGGAGTTGTGTTCTGTAAAGCTTACTATAAAGGACACACTGCCTTGAAAACTTGAAAAAGTTATATAAAATAATAAAATAGTAGATCATGTAAACATGATCTATTATACTGCCTTTCCCCGCAAGATGGATAGTGATTCTTGCTTTTTTTTTGTATGTATACATTTAATTCACCTGCCTCATATGCATTAAAGCATCCTCACAGCTCTGCTTCTCTAATATCCGATCAAACGATCTGAAGCCAGTCCTTACATTCCCTTGCTAATCTTCTCATCCTTCCAATAAATGTCGAAACAATTGCTGAACATTTACAAAGACATGCGGTTGATCTGCCATTGATAAATCATCATAAAACTAGCTGCGATGATTCCTTCTATGGCTCGCAGGATTTCACAACAGTGCCGTCAGCATTATGAAGAATGTCTTTGTGGTTTCAATTAGCCAGAATTGAAAGTTGTCAGAGTTGAGAAATACAAAATGAAAAGACAGACAGAGAAAATAGCTTTTCTGATGATCATGCAGTTCTAGTTCACATCAAAACCAGCAGAGAGAGGAAACAATAAATTAAGAATATATAATGGTTGAAAAGAGGCTGTCGCAGGGAGCCGAGGAGGGCTGCAGAACAATGTGTCAGCCATTTATCACACAGAGATATAATTAGACAAAATTATACTCTGGTTATTGTTGAAGGAGTGGGTTAGTTAATTGAATGTATCATCTGTGTTCTCATTAGTGCCAGATCACATCAAAGCCTTTGCATGTGCGGCTTCGGAAATGTCTGACTGCATTAGCTGGTGCACAAATGTTGCCTTCTCACGTGAGGACTTCAATTTTAATCTCTGTGTGGACTTCTCAGGAGGAAAAGAGGATAATAAAAGCGTTCTCATTTCTGACGGGAAAGTATTTTTAAATTGAAAGATATAAAATATATAAAAAAGGTCCTCATATCATATCGTTCTACGGTATTATTTTACAAAATGTGTTCAAATTCAATCTTCAAGGGCCAAAATGTAATGAAACCGCCGGATAGCAACGCTTAAATTCACCCGTTCACTCACCATCTGGACACTCAGGTCCTCCCAACATGCCTTGTTCCTGCTGAGGTGGCAGGGGTGGTGGCGGTGGCGGTTGAGGCTGGACGTTCTCCAGTCCCAGCAACGAGGAAGAGGAGGATGAAGAGGACATTGAGGAAGAAGAGGAGGAGCAGGGAGGGGGAGAGCTGGGAGGGCACTGGGAGCTCTGGTTGGGCACCGCTGACTGGGAGCTCTGGAAGGAGAGAACATTTAAATAAACATGACTTTTGTCCAGGATTTTGAGATATAAACACAGACTGATTGATCAAATTCTCTCTCATTAGGTTCCTTAAAATGTTTCCAATTCACCAAATATAATTTGAGTATTTCATATTTAAACTTTTCTTTAAACCTATGGCGGACATTTTTTAGGGACCTCATACCAAATGTAGAAAATGGTACTTTGATTTAAAATGATGGGCAAGTTGTTATTGGTTCTAAGGGTTTTTAAAAAAAAATTCAATTAAATGGATCTTCTTTCTTAAACAGAAAAACAATGGATACATTCATGGGGACAGTTTGATATCAATTTGTTTCCTCACAATTCTTAAAGCTATTCCACTTGGAGAAGAAGGATGGCACACATAGTAAGCTAGCAATCTAACTAGCAAAATGTTATAGTGACCGAGATAGCGGGCTAACGCTGTATTAACATTATGTTCAAGGTAGTTTTCCCCTATTGCCTGCCTTTTACACCTGAAGATAAAAAACAAGCCTAAACCTTAACCTTTTGTCACATGTTTTTAGCTGTTAGCTAATTAAATTTGGTGTGAATATTCAGTTTTATTTGGATGTAACCATGTAAACACGACATTACACATTAGCAAGCTAACCTCCTAGCACACAAGCTTGCTAGCTAGCGTGACAAAATGGCGTCCTTACCGAAATGTTTTCCTGTTTGAAACCTAAAAATAAAACATTATCATACGTATGTAAGCTAGTGAATACATAACAAACAAACTTGACTTCACCTAAACCATGATATTTTCCTGAACCTTCCAAAAGACTTTTGTTAGCTAAAGCTAATCAAGTGGTTCTGTTTCAAAACCTGTTTGCGACATTAACAAAAATGGTAATATAATACAAATATTTAATTTGAAAACAAGCTTTACTGTTTTATGAAGACTGTACATTTTACAAGTGGTTTTCTGCTTCGGTCACTTTGCGGTGAGAGTCATTCTTTACGGTGGCTAGCTAAAACCACAACATTGTTAATAGAAATAAATAAAGTCATGTCAATATGTTTGGCCTGGCAAGTACTATAACTAACAGCTACACCTTGTCAAATGAAAAATAAATCTTCTTGCAGCTTGGTGAGGTTGAGGCCAAGTTTTTAAAGCTTCAGTTTCTCCATCAGCCCTACCTGGGAGGGGATCTGGGCCCGGGTGGAGCTGGGCCCGTTGTTGTGCATGCCCATCCCGTTCTCAGTGAGGAACTCCTCCAGGTCCATGTACTGCAGCTGGAACAAGCCTCCGTCACAGGGCAGGGTCCTCTCCCACAGCAGCGGGCCCAGGAACGCTGACTGGGAGTTGGGACGCAGTGGGCCGGACCCAGGGGCTCCAGGGGCCCCCGGGGCCGCACTGGGAGCACCTGGCCCTCCGGTGATGACACCCGGATTTGATTCCTCATCAGATTCCGCAGGTTTATCTTTATCTGGAGAGAAGGAGAAGTATGTCAGATTATTTTATTTGTGTAATAAAAGAAGAACCACCCTAAAATGGTCATGTATCTCAATCCACTTTTCTGTGCTTGTTATGAAAGGTGAAATAAATAATAAGAAATGATAAGAACTGAAAATATGCAGCTAGAAAATATATGTTTCAGGGGGTGAACATGTTTAGTATTTTGTGCTGTAGAGCAGAGACTCTACTTTGTTTTCTGGAATCAATCTGTCTTCAGCTTAATGTGACAGGGATTTATTGCCTAAAAAAAAGCACTTAAACAAATGCAGTCCTCCATTCCAAAACACTGTGTGTCCCTATGGAAATAGCGTCATAGTATTTCAAGGCATTTTATCCTTACATACTGTGGTGACCAAAAGCAAATCCATGTGTCCCCAAATGACTTCCGCCGTCAATCCATAACTATCAAACAAATATCTCAAATCTGATGCAAAATTATTCATTTAAAACATCCTTTCACACACTCTTTACAAGTGCTCAAAGACAGAGTCTGGACGCCAGATGGTCACAGGTTTTATCCCCTAAGGGTAACACACTTGAACATCCAAACACACATGCCTTTTGTTTTCTATATAACGCCTCAAAATGGGAAAGTTAACCTCAGTTCAGCAAACGTTATATGGTTTACCTTGAATGCCTTATTGTCCTCAGAAAGCCTCTGAAATATTCCGAAAATTGACATTTGGTTCCCTTTTAAGTTGTTTTAACCGCTTGTGATTGCATCCCTTTGTTCCTGAGGTGATCTTGCATTTATCTACAAGAAGCTGCGTTACAATTGTGTGAAACTCATTTTATTTTCCGACAAACAAACAGCTCCCGAGGCTGATTCTGTCGTTTGATGAACACCGGCTGATGTTTGTGTCCTTTGCTCTCTGGGAAGCACTTAGTTGCGATCATTAAAAGGCATCTATAAATAAAGTTGACTAAACTGACCCTGCACTATGACCTCTATCTAAGCGGTAGGGTCTGATGGAAAGATAGATAAGGCCATCAATAAAGCATCAGCACAGAAAATAAACGAAAAAATCCTGCAAGTAAACTAAAAAAGAACCAAACTTCATCACAAGGAGAGAACTGGGGTGATTGTTTTGTACCCTGATCCTTTGATAATATTATTCTACAAAATCAAGCGTCCCAAAGTGCATATTGAATAAATGGAACAATGAATAATACAATCCAATAAAATAGTAATAAAAGAGCATATTTAACGAGGCTGCGGCGAAAGGGAAATAATGAACAAGAGAGAGAAGGAGACATCGGGAGAACATCGGGACGGCCGGAAATGTTCATTTAAAAGGGATTAAAGAACATAAAGTCAGGGGAGATAACAGCGGAAAGATGGAGGGACGGAGGAAAATAGTTGAGGGCATGTCCCTCATAATCTCTCCGCTATCATCATCATCATCTGCCTGCCACTTTCTTTTCAATTACTGTCTGTTTAATACAAAACTCAAAGGACTCTATGGCGCTTTTCCACTGCAGCACGTAGCACGGTTTAAGCTGGGCGGGCCAACCAGGCCCGCTTTCTTTTGCTTTTCCACTAGGGGTAGTTCCGGCTCAGGGCTACTTTTTCACCTTTTTTCTGGCCCTCGAGCTTCTTACCGGGCCAACAACCGGGCTGAATATGCTAAACTAGTGACGTAAACACTCTTGACTGCTGAATGGTCAGAGAGAATCGCTGGCAAGGGGGGCTACAACTACAACAAAATGAACATATTTTACCGTGTTTTAATTGTAATACACGTTTCAAAATGATGCCGAAGTAACTACATACTGATACCGGTCTGCAGACAAGACGGCAGGCAAAAAACCTTTTAAAATGCGTGTTTTCTGAATGGAGATCGGATCGATCAGGCTAAGCTAACGTTGTATATGCTCCGTCCACACTCACAAAAACGGCCTACAGACATAAATAAAGCAGTGACTGTATTCACCATGACACAGACAGTCTGTGGTTTGTACTTGTTTAACTTTTGTCCAGTTTCTGAACAGATATGAGGAGCTATGAGCTCGGAGTGCTAACAGCTAACGGCTGATGTTTTGGTTTTGTGGTTCACATTGAAGATGACGTCGCCAATAGTATGAAGCTGAAGCGCCAGAGACTGCACTCTCACGACCGCACTCTCACGACCCTAGTTGTTTTGCAACATCGCCGTACTTACCATAGACTGTATATATAAAGTAACATATTATATCTTATATTATTAATATATATATAATTCTGATGAAACGTTATTTCAGCGTCAATAAATGAGTGTTAATCCCAGTGTGTTAAGTGTACAACATCACATGTCATTTCGCCTTCAATACGCAGTTTTCAAAACGTTAGCCACATGCTAATGCAAGCCGGAAATTAAGTATTTTCAGAATAAAAGTGTTACATTAATAGTTAGTGTGAACTTCTGGGTTTTTCAGAATAAAACTGCTTTAAATTAAAACCCTGTATTTAATTGTAGGTTTAGGAGGGAGGAAGGAAGATTAGGATTAAGGTAAAAAAGTAGGGCTGTCAAGTTAACGCATTAATAACGCGTTAACGCAAAAAAAAAA